AATAGTACCTCAGAACACTAATTCCTATCACCTCCCAAACTGTATGCTATTTTTGTCCAATAATTCAGTTTCCTTTTTTTAACCCCACGATTTCAACATTACAACTATGGTTTTTTAGATTTTCTTTACCCACCAAACCTTTTTGCATTTCAGAAACTCTCCTGAGGTTACTTTCCTTGTCCCTACATGGAGATCTGTTAGAAATTCTTCCAGTGAGGATGTGTTGGTGGAAAACACACTCAGCTTCTGTGTGTCCGAAAAATAGTTTTGTTGGGTATAAAATTCTAAATTGACAGGTATTTTCTCTGGGAATTCTGCAGGTATTCTTCTTCTGTTCCAAGGCTTTCATGGTTGCTGCTAAAAAGGCATCTGTTTGCCTGATCACTGCTCTTCCTTCATAAATAAGTCTTTTCACTCCAGCTGCTTTTAGGGTATCTCTCCTACTCTGGTGCTCATCCCCTTCTCTATGATGTATCATGTAAAACTTTCCATTTATTTGTCTGCTTGGAAATTGTTCTGTTTCTTCAATCTGTGAATTCATATTTTCAATCAATCTTAGTAAATTCTCAGCTACTACCCCTCCTCTATTAGCTCCTTCTGGGATTCTGATTAGACAAATTTATATCTTCCCTCTGTCCTCTATGTCTTCATCTCTCTTTTATAAATGCCATCTCATTTTTCTCCATTTTGTATTCTGCCTATTTTCCTCAAATCCATCTCTCAATTTGCTAATTCTCTTTAGCTAGATCTCATCTGCTAGTAAACCATCTACTGAGTTTATAATTTGCATTATTTTTCACTTTTAGAAGTACTATTGGTTCTCTTTCAAATCTGTCCAGTCATTTTGTAGTATGTCTTTTTTCCTGAATATTACCATCAAAGTTCTGTTTAATTTTAAAAACCATATAAACATATGTATCATATTTCATACCTAATAATTCCAACAGTCTGGTGACTTGCTTCTTGGATGCTTGTGATCATTCGCAATTAAGATCATGTCTATAAAACTTTCTTCAGTTCTTTATGGTCTAGGTAACAGTTCATTCTTTCAAAGAGGACTTACATTTGCTTTTCCTAGGCACCTGGGAATACTACCAACTTGGTACTACTGTAAACTAAATTCTTACCTATTTTTTGTTCTTTGGGATCATACAAATGTGTACAAATTCAAGCTGCAAACCTGCACAATGCCTGGCTTTTGTTGTGAATGCTCAGGGAAGGCTTCTGTTTATTTTTTTTATTCTCTTCACCCAGAGCCAATGCTGAGGCAGGAAAATTTCCTCTGCGGCTCCCTCTGCAGGCTGGATTTTCTCACTTAGTCTTTTGCTAAGCAGTAGCCTTCTCTACCTCTTGGGAGCCTTAGATGGTATCTCTCATACCAAGCATAAAAATGGGAAATCCAAAGAACTAGCTCACAATTTACTGGTAGATTTCCCCAGAATAACCTCTGCCTTCAGGGAGCTTATATAGTCTCTAGATTCCTGCTCCCACTTTCTTTTTGGATTCCAAGGATTTTCCTTATTCTTACCAGCTGACCTAGACCATAGAGTAGACTTTCTTTAAAGGCATTTTATCCAGCACTTTAGGAGTTTAAAAATGAGGGGGATTTTTCAGGATATGCAAGCTGTCATCTTATCAGAAAGAGAACATACACTGCCTTTCTGTTTCTACTTATGTATTTGGAATATACTGCCAAATATAAAATTGACAGATCAAGGAACAGAATTAGTTTCATGGCTTTTGCTACATGTTATAAAATTCAGTGATGAAAATTAATTAATATCACATTTTAACAGTGGCTTGAGAAGATTTGTAGATTCCATGTCTATTTTGCTTCAGAAAAGTTATCTAATAATATTAAATGAAAGTTTTTTGGTTTTGATGATATCTGGAATAAAACATGATCTTAGTCTGATCTGTATAACTTATCTTCTAAAAGAACAGCTACAATGTTGGTAAGGATATAGAGATACTGAAACCCTCACACACTGCTGGTGGGAATGTAAAGTGGTGTGGCGACCTTAGAAAAAGTCTAGTAGTGGGGCGCCTGGGTGGCTCAGTCGTTAAACATCTGCCTTCAGCTCGGGTCATGATCCCAGGGTGCTGGGATCGAGCCCCATATCGGGCTCCCTGCTCTGCGGGAAGCCTGCTTCTCCCTTTCCCACTCCCCCTGCTTGTGTTCTCTCTCTTGCTGTGTATCTCTCTGTCAAATAAATAAATAAAATCTTTAAAAAAAAAAAAAGTCTAGTAGTTCCTCAAGAAGTTAAACATAGAATTATCATTTGAAATGGCAATTCACTAATATATACCCAAGAGAAATTAAAACTTATGTTCACCCAAAAACTCATACATGAACACTCAGAGCAGCATTGTTCATAATAGCTAAAATGGAGAAACAACCCAGCAACTGATAAATGGATAAACAAAATGTGGTATGTCCATACAGTGGGATATTATTAAGCCATAAAAAGAAAAGAAGCAGTGATCCATGCTACAACATGGATGAATCTAGAAAACCTTATGCTAAGTGAGAGAAGCCAGACACAAAAGACAACCAATTACATGATTCAATTACATGAAATACCCAGAATAGGTCAATCAAAAGATAGAGAAAGTAGGTTAGTGGTTGTTTAGAGCTGGGAGGATGGTGATCTTGGGAGGTAGTAAAGGGTTCACAGTTTCTTTCTGAGGTAAGGAAAATGTTCTAAAATTGGTTGTGGTGATGGTTGCATAACTCTGTAAATATACTAAAACCACTGATTTGTACACTTTAAATGGATGAACAATAAGGCATGTGATTACACTGCAATAGGGCTATCAGAATAAAAACCATGCAGATAAAACAAATTCTGTGGCTATAACATAAATTGACCTGAAAACCCTTTGACAAAATGGCACAAGCACTATTTCCAAGGAAATCCAGTCACCATACAATTGTGACCCCTTTTCTCCTTTGAGTTGATACTGCCTTTGAAAGAGGAAGCAAACGTAAGGATAAAAGACATGATTTTGGTATTCTGAAAGCATGATTTCTTAGTGATATGGTAGGATGAGGCTAGTTTGCTTTAAAAATACATCTTTACAAATGATCTGAAGGAGAGAATGCACAGTAAAATCTCCCAAGCTGACAATTATACGATACTCTTCCTGACAATAAGACACTTAGTTGATGAAAATAAATCATAGGGTTTATTCGCTGGCAGCTGTAGAAGCTGGCTCTACACAATATGCTAAACTACTCAGGAAAATTATGAAGAGCTTGTATGGCAAGGCCCGAGGCATAAAGGCTCAACACCAAATGACCTAAAGACAAATTACATATACATGAGTATGGGAGGGCAGTGCCTGGGACTGATTTTGGAAGCCCAGGAGAAAGGATTTTTCTCCTGCTAGAAGGCTTGGCCCTTCGGAAAGTATGGGCAGATACGCTCATATGAACAGCGGCAATCCCTCCTGTCAGGGGCTGGGAATCCAGGAAGGTAAAGGGGCCCCTGAGAGTGTGAAGCTAAACTCTAGTGGGGAAGAGGAATGGTCTATCCTTTGAGGTTCTCTCCCCACTTCCAGGAAAGAGACAATAGACCTGCTGAGGATAGGGGAAAAAAAAAAAAAGAATTAAAATCCTCCTTTTCACTTCTACCTGGAGGATGGAAAATAAGAGTCTCAAGTTCTCACTGCGGTGTAACTGCAGAACAACACATTCCAGAGGGAGAGCAGAGGAGAGGAGGTGCACTCCTGGCAAGACGAGCTACGATTGGGCCTGTTGCCAAATCAAAGTGTGGGGTGCCTTGTGCACGAATCATTTAGGATCTCAGAACAGTGACAGCAGAGCATTACACCTAACATGGGGCTCTTCTGAGTGTGGGGATGGCTGCAACTGCACGGGCCATACACCCAGGAGGCCCTGACTCTTGAGCAGCAAGAACAGCAGTAGCAAAAACTCAGGAGGCACAGAAGAAAACCAAGATCATCTAAAATCCTAACACCTGAGACTGATACCATTTTGGTGTATATTCCAGAGAATTTCATATATACACATAGACTGTTGGCCCTGGAACAACATAGGTTTGAACTGCACGGGTCCACATATACATGGAATTTTTTGGGTAAATACAGTACAGGACTGCAAATATATTTTCTACTTCTTATTATTTCTTAATAACATTTTCTTTTCTCTAGCTTTCTTTATTGTACAAATACAGTATAGAATACATACAACATACAAAATATGTAATTGACTGTTTATGTTATCGGGAAGGCTCCCAGTCAACAGGACGCTATTAGTAGTTAAGTTCTGGGGGAATCAAAAGTTACCCACAGACTTCCAAGGGTGCAGGGGATTGGTGCCCATAACCCCCTGTATTGTTCAAGGGTCAAGTGTACATGGAGACATTGATTCATACCATTTTTTATTTCACAGAAATGGTATAGTGTACATTCTCTTCTGTAGCCTTTTTTTTAAAGCTTATTACAGTATGGAGAACTTTCAAAAATGTTAAATACAGATCATTTCAATCCAATTGTATAGATTATAGAACATAAAGATCCATGTTCCACTTAACCAAACGCATATTGTTAAGGTTTCTGAAGGGTCTTGGGTTTTTCATTATCAAACATGATGACCACTGGATATGAATAAAGTGGAATGAGGACTGAATGAGTTAAATCAGTATAAAGTATTTCACAGAGTACTTGGCAAGTCACAAGCTCTCTATAAATGTTAGTGATTTTAGTATTGTGTCCTATGTAAAGACTGAACTAATTTTACATTCCCAACAGCAGGGTAAAAGAAATTGGTTTTCCTAAATCTTTGCCAATTCTTCCAAATTTTCCCTTTTGTATTTCTTCTATGAATCATTCGTTCGTGTTCTTTGACAGTTCTCCTATTGGATTTCTTATGCTTTTTAAATTTTTAACCGATTTCCGTATTAAGGATATGAGTCCTTTGTCAGAAGAATAACAAACACTTTTTTTTGGCTTAGAAAAAAATTTTTAAGACTTACCTCCAGTTCCTAGGACCTTGAGGAGCTCAAAATTTTCAATCCCCACCTTCTCTGCATGTCCTGTTAAATTAGCTAAAAAAAGAAAGAGAAAAAAGAAATAATTAAGGGGATCAGTAACAGGAGGGGGCCCATGGAGGCTTCTGAAATACCAGCAATGTTTTATTACTTGACCTGGGTGGTTAAGCCAGGGTTCACTTTATAATTATTTGTTAAACCATACAGCTATGTTTTGTGCAATTTTCTGTATATTATATATTATAGGCAAACTTTTTTAGAATTTAGTAGCTATATCATTTGTACCTGAAGTTAACATAAAAATAAAGTGTTAATAGACTCACTACTGATCAAGATAATCTGAAAATAAACACAAATTCCAATATATAGCTAGATATGCAGTACAAAGAAAACGGGACAGATTTAGACAACATAATCATTAGTTAACAAATATTTATTGAGTGTCCACTAAATATCATCCCCAGCATCTAAGGTGGGTTCTACTCCCATTTCTTTCTTCCTTTTTTTTTTTTTTTTAAGATTTTATTTATTTATTTCACAGAGAGATAGAGAGCACAAGTAGGCAGAGAGGCAGGCAGAGGCAGGCAGAGGGAGGAGAAGCAGGCTCCCCGCTGAGCAGGGAGCCCAATGCGGAACTCAATCCCAGGACCCTGGGATCATGACCTGAGCCAAAGGCAGCGACTTAACTGACTGAGCCACCCAGGCGCCCCCCTTTTTTTTTTTTTAAAGATTTATTTTATTTGTTTATCTTAGAGAGAGAGAGAGCACGAGCAGAAGGAGAGGCAGAGGGAGAGGATCTCAAGCCCATGCTGAGCGCAGAGCCCAATGTGGGGCTCAATCTCACAGCCCTGAGATTATGACCTGAGCCAAAATCAAGAGTCAGACGCTCAACCGACTGAGCCACCCAGGCGCCCCTCTACTCCCATTTCTGCCACTAAGCACCTGCACATGATTTAGCCTGCATTAGTCATTTAACTATAGTGTCTCAGTTCCCTCATCTCTGAAATGAAAGCACTAGTCTCAATAAATTCTAAGATCTCTGCCAGCTCTAAAATTTGTTTTAAAAAGTATAAACTCTTTAAAAACATATTCTATCCTAAATAAACAAAATTAGGATATCGTATGAAGGAGTATTTTCCCAAGTATATTCCTTTGATTCTGGTCCTATACTACATGATGTTAACAGATGTTATATTTGGGAGGAAAACATGCTTTCAAGCCAAAAAAACTTGAAATGGTTGGCTTAAACAAAGTTAATCGGGTTTCTTTACTGCTGAACTTCACAGATGAAAATCTGTATGTGACTCTTCAAAACTGAGATACGTTTTTGTCAAATTTATTGGATCCCAAAAGTATTTTTTATGGTAATACCTATAATATAATGTGAACCAGCATTCTGTAGATGTGGTTAAGGCAGGCTTGGCCCAAATCCTAGTTTTACCACTTAAAAGCCATGTGACCTTACACAAATTACTTAACTTTTCTTTGTCTCCGGTACCCTCTAGTGTAAAATGAGGATAATAAAAATACCTACCCTCAAAGCATACTGATGTCTACAATTTGCTTTGAAATGCATTAAAAAAATAAGATGGATTAATGGATGAATATAGGTATGGATAGATATGTGATAAGCAAATAGATAAAATGTTTATTACAGAATCTAGATAGTGAGTGTAAGAGTGTTCAACATGTCATTCTTCCAAATTCTCCGTATATTTGAAAATGTCCATAATAAAATGGCATAAAATAAAATAATACCATAGGGTTGTGATGAGGATTCAGTGAGTTAAATTCATACAGAGCTTGCTATATGCCATAGCATTATTGTAAGCGTTTGTAAGTAAACAATGCTCTGGGCCTACAACTTCAAGAAAATCAGACCCAACTAGGAACTTCTAGAATTAAAAGTTTCAGGGGGATAAGTGGTTTCATTTCAGTGTCCTTCCAAAGTTTAACCAAATGCATAATTAAAATTTTTTAAATTGTGGTCAAAACCACATAACATAAAATTTCCCACCTTAGCCATTTTTTTTCTTTTAAAGATTTTATTCATTTATTTGACAGAGAGATAGCGAGAGAGGGAACACAAGCAGGGGGAGCGGGAGAGGGAGAAGCAGCCTTCCCGCTGAGTAGAGAGCCTGATGTGGGGCTCAATCCCAGGACCCCAGGACCATGACCCAAGCCGAAGGCAGATGCCTAACAACTGAGACACCCCCCTGCCCCCCGCCAAGCCATGTTTAAGTGTATAATATAGTGGTGCTAATTAGATGTACTATGTTTACAACAGATCTCTGGAACTTTTTACATTTTGCAAACACACTCTATACCCATTGAACTTAATCTACTAACAATTTAATGTAACTGTTGAGATGGTTGGATTTGGGTCAACCATTTTATTTTATTATTTGTTTCCAACTTGTTTTTTTCTCTTTTCTTTTTTAAAGTTGTATTTATTTAATTAATCTCTACACCCAATGAGGGACTTGAACACATGACCCTAAGATTGAGTCACATGCTCTTCCAACCAAGCCAGCCAGGTGCCCCTCGTCTTTTCTATTGTTTGTTCTCACGTTTCTACTTTCCTGACTTAAAACAACAACCAAAGATAGCATTTAAATGCTTTTTAGAATTTCATTTCAATTTTCACATTGGCATTTTAGCTCTATTTCTTTGCATTATTAGCATAGTTGTTGCCCTAAGGATTACAGTATACATCTTTAATTACTCACAGTCCTCTTATAATTAATACTGTACCATTTCCCTAAAAATATAGAAACTTTGCAATCATTCTTCATGGAATATAGATACATATTAAATGGAGTTAATATCTTCTGTATATGCTATATATGCACAACTTATATGATTTATAAAGAAAATAAGAGGAAAGACAGAGGCTTTCCCTTTTCTGTAGATATTTATCATTTTTGATGATCTTTTTTTTTATCTTTTCCAAAGATCCACAATTTCATCAGGTATAAGTTTTCCTCAGCCTTGAAGAACTTCCTTTGACATTTCTTGTAGTGCATTCTCTTGAGTTTTGTTTTATATGAACAAGACTTTGCCTTCATTTAAATTTTTCCATTGAGGTATATTTCATAAGACTCACCCCTTTAAAGGGTACACGCCCGTGGCTTTTAGTCTACTCACGGTTGTGTCACTGCCACCACTAATTCTGGAATCCTCTTCATTTCTGAAGGATATTTTCCTTTGATAAAGAATACTGGGAGGACAGGCTTTTTTCTTTTCTTCCGGCACTTTAAATATGTTCTTCCACTCTCTTTTGGCTTCCGTGGTTTCCGAGGTGAAGTCAGTTACATTAAATGGATCATTGCTCCTCTATTAGAAATGTTATCATTTTTCTCTTATTGTTTTCAACATTTGCTCTTTATCTTTGGCTTTCCAAAGTTTTGCCATGATGTGTCTTGATGTGGACTTCTTTGGGTTCAATCAGCCTGGTATATATTCACTGAGTATCTTGAATCTGTGGGTTTCTGTTTTTCATCAAATTTGGGGAATTTCTGCTTTAACGTTTCAAAAAATTTTTTCTATCCCATTCTCTCTGTCCTCTGAGATTCCATTTCTGTGCATGTTGGATTGTTTAATTCAACCTAAAAGGTCTCTGAGACTGTTCATTTTTTGCTCCAATATGTTTTCTCTCTGTTCTTCAAATTAATTTCTATCACTCTATCTTCAAGTTCGTGTACTTTTCCTTCTGCACCTCTATTCAACTGTTAAATCCATCTACTGAATTTTTATGTCAAATATTGTATCTTTTAATTCTAGAACTTCCCTTTGGTTCTTTCCCATTGTTTCTATTTATCTGATAGGATTTCTTGTTTTGTTATTCACTGAGAGCATGACATTTTATTTCACTGAGGATATTATAACAGCTGCTTTAAAAATCTTGTCTGCTACTGCCAATATCTCATTCATCTCAGGGTAGGACTCAGCTGATTTTCTTCCTCTTCAGATATGTTCCATTTTCTCGATTCTCCATATATGGGGAAATTATGGCTTGTAGAAATGTTAATTTGTGAAGACTATGAAATTGTTATTTTTTTCTCCAGTGAGAGTTCTTTGTTTTGCTTAGCTGGCAAATATCTTGGGTTGGCCTAAACTGTAAACTCTTTTTCTTTGGAAGCAGCTCCAGTCCGGTTCAGATTTTTTGTCTCCAGCTGAGCTGTTCCGAGTCCATTGTACTCATGCATGGCTCAGAGGCAAGAGATGTGTGCTCACAAAGGACTCCCCCTCCTCTGGCTCTTCTTCTGGGATTTCTCTACTATCTTCAGTGATCAGGGCTCTCTGGTTTCAGTTTTCTAGTCCCCCTGGCCAGAGAGACTATTGTTTTTCCACCAGAGTCTCCAGAGTACAGACTGTACTTAGCCTGAAGCTATAATCAGCGAAAAGGCAAATTTACTTCTTATAGCTTCCTTCCTTCTCTCCTCCAACTATGTACACCCGAGTAGAGCCTATCTGCTTCTGTTCACTTGCTTTTTATATTAAATCCAGGTTTTACAGTTGTTTTCTGCTAAGGAATTCTCCAGGAGGGGGTCTTTTCTGAAATTACAAGAAACAAAAGTCTTCCTTCATACAGTCAACAGGATGAAGGGAAGCAGAATACGCCACCCCCAAATATGCTTTGGCATGTTGATTCTTTTGAATTAAGTTACTTAAGAAACAGCCTGAGAAATGAGGACACTGACCTCCTCTGCCCCCCCTCCCCCAAAAGCAAGGAAATAAGTCTCTCATTTGAAAGGTACCCTCCCTGTACCAGGAGGGTAGAAGGCATCCTTATTACCAGAAATAGGGGATTTGGGGCCCAGAGAGCTATATAAACAAACTCTGTTACTTCCTCATTAATTTACTATCTCAAACCCAAACGCTTCAGTCTTACCAATTTTTCACAAAGCCACCTGCTTTGGTGACTTCTTTGAGCCTCGTATCTGTATAGGCTCCTGTACATACAAAATTAAGTGTTTTTTCTCTGTTAATTTGTGTTATGTCAATTTAATTATTAGGCCAGCCAAAGAACCTAGAAGAAAAGAAGGGAAAGGTTC